GCTAGCTCAAGCCTACAGGCGATCTCAAGTCTACAAGCAGGCGAGCTTCAAGCCTTAGGCGAGCTCGAGAAGTCATCATGCGAGTTCAAGCATTAGGTGAGCCCAATGGGATCATCAGGCGAGCTCCTAGCTGTCGGGCGAGCTTACCTTGTGCAGGCGAGCTTCAAACATGCAAGAGAGCTTCAAGCGTGTATGCGAGCTTCCAGCTGTCGGGTGAGCTTGCCTTGTGCAGGCGAGCTTCAAAATATACAGGCGAGTTTAGTAGGCGAGGCTGTGCAGGCGAGCCAGCCTCATTCAGGTAAGCTTAAAGCTTGAAGCCTTCAGGTGAGCTAAACTCCTTTGCAGGCGGGGTTGCTCTTCAGGCGAGCTCCAGAACATGCTACGAAGAACATGTCATAACTTTTAAACCGTAAGTCAGAATTAGACGAAGTATATATGAAAATTAACTATCTCAACGAGACAGAGATGACCAAACGCACCCCAAAGGGTTTGGTTTGTTTCTGTCTATTTTGTTAAATTCCTTCCAGTTTGAGAGATATCAGTGTTTTTCTTTTTTTGCTATTTCGGGCGAGGTTTTAGTAGTCTTGTTCTGAACTTTTCTGATAGGGATTAAAGGTAATTTTTATTGCCTACAATGACCAAGTCTCATTTGTCATAATCTAGTAGTATCTATTCTTGATATCAATGATGCAACTGCAACCAAACTAGTAACAGTAGAACCCTACAAGATATACAAGCTGTCGACCTTCTTTCCTTTTATAACTAAAAGTGAGTCATTTGTAACTCTAAGAACTCCACCTTCACCTAAAAAATTACATCCAAGACTATCAAGAGTGCCCAAAGATATGAGATATTTCCTTAAACCTAGAGCATGCCTAACATCAATTAAGGTCTCGATGACTTCATCATGCATTTTAATCCGAATTGCCTCTTTTCCAATATTCTTACATGAGCCGGTATTCCCCAAAAGAACAACTCTACCTTCAATAGTTCAGTGAACTAATCCCTACCAGGACACATATGATAGGAGCAATTTGAAGCCAAAATTTAATCATCTGTGCTCCTATTTAGCATCAATAACTCATAATTCACATCTTTAGCAATATCAACTTCAGCAGAGTCCTCATTTAGTTTCTCTTCATGCTCTTCTTGTTTCTTCCTATTCTTCAAGTTGTAACAATGGGCCTTGAAGTGCTCTTTCTTCTTGCAATATCCACAGGTCATGCTCCTATGCTTCAACTTATACCTATTACTTCTAAAGCCCATTTCATTCAATCTTCCTCAAACAAACAAGCCATCAGTTTTATCACTACTTTCTCTTGTGGTTAACTTTTTATCGATTGTCTCCTTATTCAACAAGTTCTCTTTGACATTTTTAATGCTAATAGAATCTCGACCATAAATCATAGTATCTCTAAAGTTCTTGTAAGAAGGCTACAAATAACATAATAATGATAGGGCTTGATCTTCATCATCGATCTTAACATCAATCTTGCTCAAATTTGTAATCACATAATTAAATTCGCCAATATAAGATTTGATAGGTGTACCTTCTGACATCCGAAGTGTGTACAAACGCTGCTTTAAGATGAGACAATTAGTAAGCCAGTTCATCAAATGCAATCCTCCAACTTAGACCATAAATCAACATATGTCTTCTCTATGAGAATTTCTTGCAGGACTCTCTTTGTCAAACATAGTTGGATCGCTTAAGAACTTTATCATCTAACTTGTTATAATCTTCCTCCATCATGGTAGCATGTTTCTTTGACTTTCTAAAGAAAGCCCCCTTCAATTCACTCTGTGTCAGTACGACAATCATACTAACTTGCCAAAGACTAAAACTAATGTTAATGTTAAATTTCTCAATATCCCACTTCATTGTCGTTCTCGTCTAATTGATAGCTGAGGGCTCTAGTTCCAATTTGTTATGATAAAATCCCTAGAAATAAACTAATGTCAATCATAGGAAAGTGCAGAAAAATATTAAGAACACAAATAATACACATGTATATGTGGTTCGGCTTATAGTCTACATCCACGAGAAAAAGAGGAGAATAACTTTATTAATAATTTGTGAGGAATACAATGTGAATATTTCTCAATCACTCAATTCCTAATACACCACAAAAGCCTAATACAATCTCTCTTAAAACAAAGATACAAAAAAGAGCTAAAATATCTAAAAGGCTTCAAAAGGATAACACTATTCTCTGATTTAAAGAATAACTTTATTAATAATTTGTGAGGAATACAATATGGATATTTCTCAATCACTCAATTCTTAATACACCACAAAAGTCTAATACAATCTCTCTTAAAACGAAGGTACAAAAAAGAGCTAAAATATCTAAAAGGCTTCAAAAGGATAACACTATTCTCTGATTTAATATGGTTGGTGTTGTAGATTGATGGCATAGCTCTCGGATTGCCCATGTACGCATATTTATAGAGTCCCTAAAGACTAATTACTTGAAGCTCACGAACCAATTACTTAAGGCCCACAAACAGTAGCTCCTGGTAAATATAGAAGTCCACATTGATGATTGAATTCTAATACACATGGGATTCCTAATATAAGTAACCATGACGTTTCTGCCGTTTCCGTTTTTTTTTCAAAAAAAACAATGAAACGCGTTTGGCAACCGGGGCGTTTTTTTGACTTGACCCTTTACAAAATCCAAAAATTAAACACTTTTCTCAAAACACCAAAAAGGTGTTTTGAGATTCTATTTTTTCATCTAAGCCGCCGCCGCTCGCTTGGCTCGCCGCAGTCGGCGCGCACGCCCACTTACGCGCCGCCGCCACCACGCCGGCGGCGGCGGGGTCACCGCCACCGCCGCCGCCGCCGGGTGCCGCCACCGCCGCCGCCGCGGTGACCGCCAGCATGCCCGCCTCCCGTGCCGCCGACCGTCCATCTGCACCTGGCCCGTCGTACGCAGGCTCGCCGCCACCACCGTCGCCACCACGTCGCCGCCGGCGGTGGCGCCACCAGCACCCGGCCGCCGCCGTCAGCACCGCGCCCGACGCCATCGGCCACGCCGCCAGTTGCTCGCCGCACTGTGCCTCGGCCGGCCACCCGCCCGTCGGCCGGCCGTCGACCACCCGCCCGCCACCACCGCTATATAGGAGTAACTAGCAATGATTTTTTCAAAACACTTTTGAAAAAGAAACACCTTAACATTGTGTTTTTTTAAAAAACACTACAAAAAAATCGCTTTGGTATCCAAACACTTAACTTTCCAAATGTATCTCCAAGCAAATAGAATTTAATCCTATTAAAATTCCAACCAATGAAATTAACTTGTCATCTATTCAAACCGAGGCATGTGACCGAGCCTAAGTATTTGAGGCAAACATCAGCAATAATCTTTATTGTACAACCAGATAAATGTGATTTGTATTTATGTCATCTTCATTGTTGCAAAACAATCTTCTTCAATTGCGAATATTAATTATTTAACAAACTTTATGATTCGTCTAGAGTGAAAAAGTTAGGAAATAAGATAAATATAGATCCGGAATATATACTTTATGTGATCATGAAAATTTAAGTTGATGGCTAATGGATGCCACATAAATGATTTGTAAAACAGGCACTGACGAACAAGAGGTACAAGAGTTGCATGCACCGAGCAGTGGTAAATAGCACGGCAGCAAGGAAGTCACTGGTGTTCTTTCTGTGCCCGAGGAAGGATAAAATCTTGCGGCCGCCGGAGTCACTCATCAATGCTGAGCACCCGAGGGCTTACCCTGACTTCACATGGGCAACAATGGAGGAATTCACTCAGAAGCATTACAGAGCTGATACCCAGACTGCTAATGTCTTTGCTCGGTGGCTTCAGAAGAACAAAGAGGAGGGCATTACTGTTGAGTGGGATTGATTGATGATAATAAGTATGTTTGGGAGCTGGTCTCTTTTTATGTCAAAACCAAAAGAATAAATGATTCTGAAATGAGGAAAAAAACTTAATTTACTTGAATGTTAATCTCTCTCTCTCTCTCTCTCTCTCTCTCTCTCTCTCTCATTTCTTATTTGCTGCAAGCGCAAGGATTATAGCCGCAGTTGTCCACAATTAGGCAATTTTAAGTAATTGGTGGTGTTACAGGGACCCAAAAACATAGGATCCTACATGGGACATGTGAGGTGTCGGCTCCTTGTCCTATGATGCACTGTTCATGAACAGTGCATCATGGGATAGGGAGCCGACACCTCACCTGTCCCCTGTAGGATCCCATGTTTTTGGGTCCCTAAGTTATTTTTCTTTAAGTAATTTACAATTATTTGTTTCGTTGCCATTAATAAATAGTCACAATTTTGAGCTGAAAATGAGGTTTAAATTGTAATAAACCCTGACCAAAAAAAAAATCCAAAAAATCCAGTATTGGAAACAAACACATATAACTAAAATTGCAGTTATAAATTGTAAAATTTTAAAATTGAACCTAACATCTCTAACTATATATAACTGTGTCAATCTTTATAAATCTCCTCATTATAAAAAAAATTTTGAAATTAAAATATCAAAGGAGAATTTCTTGTGCTCTTGCGGCTTAAATCACTTAACACTTTGTATTTGTCCAGTCTTAACTCATGTCCACCGAGGCAAAAGAATCAAAATGAAGAATCATATATAGTTTTAGGAGATTAGAATTTCTTTTTGCTAAGCAAGATATTTGGTCATACTTAAGATATGTTTGGCAACTCTTAGAAAACTAGGACAGAATCAATCCTGCCCTAATTTTATTCTAAACTGATTCTTTTGTAAACCAATCCCCCTTCGTCCACAAAAGAATCCGTTTAAGGCCTTCTTTTTGGTCTTTGATCCTGGTCCAGTTTTCTAAACTGGTTCTTTTGTAAATCAACCCCCCTGAGTCTACAAGAATCCATTTAAGAGCCTCTTTTTTGTTTATAGTAGCATAGTTTTTCCCAAACGCAATTTAAATGGTGTTTTTGTTGTTTCCATGGTGTTTTTGCCAAAAATAAAACTCCATGCGTTTGGAAACCATGGTGTTTTTTTGAGCTAAATCATCCTCAAACAAAAAATACAACACTTATTTCAAAACATATTTGAGGTGTTTTAAGTTTGGTGTTTTGGTTTTGAGTTTGAGAAGATGTTAATATAATATCTAACATAATATACTAAATGTAATTAATATAGAGTTATTATCAACATGCTTATTATATTATACTATAATGTATTATAGTTAATTTAATATATTAGTAATATTTATTAAATGTTATAAACTATAATAAATAAAATATCTTATATATTAATATAATAACATATTAAATACCAATATTTAATATGTTAATGATGTATTATATAATAAATAAATAATAATAAAATATAAATAACCTAAGAAAAAAATAATAAAAAAGTTAATGATAATAAATAATAATATAATAATAATATAATAATATACTACATAATAGTATAATTACTATAATATTAATAAGTTTTTAATAAATAAATTATAATAAATTAATAATTATAAAATATTATATAATAGTAACATATTTAACAATAACATAACAATAAAATAATATTATTATAATAACATATTGTGTAGTTAATTATATATTAATATATAAAATATTAAGTATTATGTAATAAATAATATAATTTATTATAAAGTAAAATAATTTGTAATAATAAAATAATTTATTTCTAATTTATTTCCAACAAATGTTAATGTAAAAATAATATATTCATAATATAATAATATTTATTAATATCATAAATACTAATATATTATTAAAGTACTATTAAAGAACTCTAACATATTAAAAACTATAAAATATTATATTAGATTAAATATTTATAACATATTAAATTATTAATAACATACTAGTAATAACATAATATTAACATTATTAATAATATTATATTATATGAATAATATTATATTATATGAATAATATTATATTATATTAATAATAGTATAACGTTAAATAGTAGATTACTTGTAGTGGCATGTAAAAATTTTATTATCATACTCCCTTTAAAAGCACGAGTTCGGAAAATCTTTTTTAGACAAATATACCCCTTTATAGTTTGAACTACCTTATCTATAATCAAATTCTAATTTTCAATGGTCAATATTACCCTTCACTATTTTGAATATTTTATTTATATCTTAATCTATCCTAATCATAATCATATCTTATCCTAATACTATGTGAACCATGTTTAGCTTAACAATTTAAAAAAACTAATATTAATAAAATATATAAAACATAAAAATGATATTAGTTTGTTAAGATAAAGAAATTACAAGTAGATAACATATTATAATACATGAAGTATTGTAAAAAACCATAAAAAGTTTTAAAATTACAGAAAAGACCCTGAAAAGTTCAAAATTATAAAAATCATCCCAATGTCTCAAAACTTAAAATAAAAAAAACATGAAATTAAAAAATTAACATCAGTTTGCAAAGAATTTAAAATTTACAGTTAACACCTCAATGTCTCAAAAATTATAGAAACACCCTCAAAAGTTTAAATTACAGACAAGCACATTAAAATTCTAAAATTTTAAAACTTACAAACAACACAGAGGAATTCAAGAGATTACCATAATACACCTAAAATTTTTGACATTTAAATTTAAAATTTTTAATTAACACCCTCAATATCTTAAAAATTATAGAAACACCTTCAAAAGTTTATGATAATCATATTTTATTATAATTTTATACCCTCATTATCTATTATATATGAATAAATACACTACTAATAATTGTTTTCATCTTTTATTACAGGTTAATGAAGAAAAAATCTCAAAACCCTCACCTCTCAACAAAAAGCCCGTGATTTAAATAAGAATTTGAAGGCTCAAAGCCCATCAAAAAGATTACACAAAGGGAATTTTTTTGGACTGTTGAAGACTTGGATTTTTATTTGAAAATCAAATGATTCATGCTATGAACCGGACATGGGCTGAAGGAAATGGACTTTCAAATCTAATGAAAATCAAATTGGGCCGAAAATCACAAGATCTTACATTGGGCTGGAAATTGATTTGCCGCATATTTGCATTGGATGGGCCGGACTTAAAAGCAACAATGAAATGTGCTGCACTTGATCAAATTTGATTGCTTGCAGCTGAAAATCAAATGAAGGCTGCAAACATTAAGACCGGACTTGATTTCATTTTTAGTTTTGAAAATCAACTTCAATGGGCCGGACTCTGACTTGGATGCAAAATCAGAAATTGGACCGGACATGATTTCATTTTTAGTTTTGAAAATCAACTTCAATTGGGCTTGATTTCATTTTTATTAAAATCATATGGGCCTCCTATGTTAGGCTAGAGAAGAATAAAAAGCAAATTCAAAGGTGAAGATTGTTGCTTGGGGCTCAAGACAAATCCAATGGCTCATATTCATTGAAGATTACTATAAATATGAGTAGAGAGTGAGGGGTTAAGGGTGTAAAAATTTTTGTAACTCCTTTTGGAAAGGAGGACTACTCTTAATTGAGAAGGCCTTTCAAAATTGTAACTTTAGTTGTAATTAATAATAATAATTTTTTTACCACTTTAAATTTTTCTCTTCTTCTCTTTGTTGGATGATGAAGATGAAGATGAAGATGGAGAATTATTTGAAGGTTTGCATTTCTTTTCTTTTTCTCTTTTAGTGTAGATTTATTTCTATGCTTGTAGTTTAGATTTTATTTTCTTGTTAAATAGCCAAGAGGCTAGAACCCTCTTGCCTTAGATTTATTTCATGCTTATAGAGTAGATTTATTTTCTTGCATTTAATTCTTGCAATTTTATTTTGTAGTTTAGATTTTGCAATTTATTTTGTAGTTAGATTTTAATTTCTTATACTATTCACCTTGAGGCTAGAACCCTCTTGGGTTTAGTTTTTCTTTTTGTTTATTTTTATTTTGTTTGATTCGCCTTTAGGCTAGAACCCTCTAGGGAATCACCCTTTTCTAAGAAGTGGGTTCAATTGTAGATTACCCATATCTATAATTGAATCCACCATCTTTAATTTCTTGTATTTTCTTTTATTCTAGAATTTTGTTCTTCATTCTTGATTTTTTATTTGTTTCTTGATTTTATTCATTTTTTTTCCTTTTCACCTTATTGATCATACTCATTCTTTTTTTAAATCCATTCTCACTTACACTTGGCACCTATTTACTCACCATTTTCACTCTCTCAATCTCTTCATAATCACATTCACTTATCACTCCTACTTGTCACACACAACATAAGAACCGATTTCATATTTTCTCCTACAAAACACCTTCCTCGTGGGATCGATATCTTAAATACTATAACTTGACACAGTTGTGCACTTGCAACCATTTTGGTACATGTTTATGCCGCATCAAGTTTTTGGCGCCGTTGCCGGGGAAGGTGCTTAAGTAGGTTTTAATTATTTTGGTTCTTTAACTTGTGTGTTTTTTGTGAAGGAAACGCTTGGAGCTTGAAGATCGCGGATTGGAGAGCTAGGATTTGAAGATTTGCTTTCAGGTAAGTCCTCTTTCTAGTTTTTAATTCCACCCTTTAGCTACTTCTTCACAATTAGAGACAATTAGGACTTAAAAAAGAAGAAGAGATTTTATTTTTTGTTGACCATAATAAAATTCATCCTCCACTTTGACATTTACTAACAAGATAATAAATTCAAACAAATCCCCCCTTCTCATTTGTTTGATTGTTAACCCTAATTAAAAAAAAAGATTTTTCTTTTCCATCCTTTTTAGTTGCTTTTAATTCATAGGGTTGCATTTCATATAGTGTAGGAATTCACCAAGTGATTTGAGCATCTTGATTTGACACACACTTAAAAATATTTTTAAGGGCAAAACCCCATAATCAAGATAAGGTGAGGGATTTCATCACCCTTTCCTTAGCCCAAAAATCACTAATTCCTCACTACACCACCCAAGCCTAATAAAACTCATTAGACGTTGGCCCCTAAGGATTCGAGC